TAAATACATACATTGTTATATTGTATTTGCTTTCAATTTTCCCTAGAAGATATGAATAACTTTTTGTCAACTGCCTGATGTGTTCTAGACAGCAGAATACCCTATTGTATAAAATAACTGGGGAATAGGTTCATAAAATCAAACAGCTAATTGAATATCTCAAAATTACAGTAAATATGTTACATTACTTCTTCTCATCCTTTAAACTACACAAAAGTGATTTCCAACCCATTTAAAACAACAGAATATGAGGGGATGTCAGCTTGTTCTTAAATCAATATAACTTACATTATGTGACATTAATTTTTCCAGTAGGAAAAAGAGTTCATATAACTGGTCACTCACAAAATTAGTGTTTGTAAAACCGAGATTTTATTTATAACAATGAATACAATTAAAATTACACTCTTAAAAGGCATTTCTCATCAGTGAAAGCAAAGACATACAAAGTTTCTAGGCCAATATATTTCAGACATATCATAAGCTAAAAAAATCCATGGGAAAACTTTTCAAAAAGAAAACTACACAAGTGTTGTAAGTTAGAAAAGATCTAATTAAGGTCAGGACAGGTACAGACCTGTCTTCAGAACCACAAAATCATAATCAGCTTCCTAATTGGCCACAACAAAGTATCTGATCCATGACATGTAGTATTTTAAACTGACATTACATCACTGGATGAAATGCTACTCTATGTGTGATATAATCAATACACCCAGTTTGTGAAGGGAGGTAGCATAGCTGATGCAGAAACAGCCCCCTCCTGTTTTGTGGGTGCAGAGAGTTCTATACCAAGGAAATTCCCCACTGGCCATTTACAGCTCTAATTTACATCCATAAATTTAAAACCCTTGAGATGCAATTCTCCACTGCTTTGTACTTTGTGTAGTCTTTTATTTTTCGACAATCTTCAGAAGTAACTTCCCTCTTCCTGCTTATTTTTTCATGTGTTAATTACAGCCACAATAATTTTAATGTGTTGCATTGGTATTTTTCTTTCATTCACATATATTCAACATCATGCCATTCAGACGGAGTATTTCTGTTGTTTTGTTTTGAATCTCATCCAACACTTTCAATTCTGCTAACCATGTTTGCTAGTTTATTTTTATTTGCTTGAATCTCTAATATTGCCTACCAGTTGATGGGTTATGATCTTACAGCTAGAAAAGCCAGCTAACTATCTGTGCCTCCTTTCTATCACACAACACAGTCAATCCCTCAAGGGTGAGTAAATAAGAAATGCACAAAACATAAACAGAATAATGAACCTCCAACTCTAGAATTGTTGCCCCAAGTCTCACTAATTTGAGGATGGAATTGGTGATATATTGCAGATTTAACAATATCTCTGGAAGTGAGGATTCTGTTCTTCATAATTAAATTACATGTCGCATTCTACTCTAGTCCATCCCTGGTTGGATATATATGGAATAATTTAATATACCCTGGTTGGCAAATTCAGATGATATCTACTTTCCTGCTATTCGGTATTTTTTAAAAAAACCTCTCTGGACCACTTAAACTAAGCAATGGTAGTATAAATTAATTTAAACGTGTACAAGACCTACAATGCAATGAATTAATAACATTTTGGAAATAAACACTTTGCTGTAAAGTGAGCTCATTAAGACGACTGGACAGACAGACACCTGGGGAGTCAAGCAGCAAGTGCCTGCCCTTGGAAGAACTCTCTTTGGGTGTGTCTAGACTACATGCCTCCTTCGACGGAGGCATGTAGATTAGCCAGATTGGAAGAGGGAAATGAAGCCGCGATTAAAATAATCGCGGCTTCATTTAAATTTAAATGGCTGCCCCGATCTGCCGATCAGCTGTTTGTCGGCAGATCGGGGCAGTCTGGACGCGATGCGCCGACAAA